CTTGGGGGAAAGCTGTCCCCCTGTGGGTGACATCCCAGGGGTTCATCCCAGCACATCCTTGTGCTGCAGGGGAAGGCAGGAGGAGCTGCACGAGCTCGCTGACAGCTTCAACTCATCGGCAAAAAGCTGTTTTTGCAGCGAGCCTCATCCTCCAGCTGTCTAAGTCTCCAAAATCCCCAAATCCATGCTTATGTTTTAGGCACAGTTTGAAATTTTCCCCCCTCAGCCTACAAACACAGCGAGGCCAGGCCCTGGCTCAGATTTTCCAGGTGAATTCCAGGTGAATTCCCTGCAGTCCTGACTGGGAGGTAAAAAAAGGTTGGAAATATGATCTTGGAGCCTTTCCCAACATTAATGATTCTGTGGGGCCAAGGAGATGCAGCAGGAAGCCCCAAGAGCTGCTCCCAGCCTCCCAAAATGACCTCAAAAGCAGCACTTTTCCCAAGCTCACCAGATTTCACACGAATTCCACCTTTTCTCTGCTTTTTTATCTCCTTCTCTCACAGCAGCTGTTGATTTTTCCCTGCCACTTTTTAATGTCTGAGTGGGCTCATGTCCTGTGGCATTTTCCAGCGTTCCCTGGAGCAGAACAGGACCGTGCTCAGCCAAAAGGAGCAGCACATTGGGCAGCTCAGCTCTCCTGGGAGAAATCCTGCTGGGGCTGGCAAAACAAAGACTTAAACCAAATAAAGGCAGGGCAGCCTCAGCAAAACCTTTTGGAGGACTGCAGCCTTTTCTGAGGCGAGAAAATTAATTCCCTGAATGCCTTGTAAGGATTTTTTTTTTTTTTTTCCCTGCTTGGAGCAGATATTAAGGGTTTGCCCAAAGAATAGCAATAAAATCTTGCTGGTGATAAGAATGCTGCTGTGCCTTGCTGAGGAGCAGGCTGGTGCTGAAGAGCAGTGAAAGTGCCATGGAATGAGGCCAGAAATGCCCCAAACCTCATTTCTGTCGAAGCTGAATTTTCTCAGTGTCTGTAATGTTTCCCTTTTATTTCTAAAGTGATGGCCTTGCAGCACAGCAGCAAACAAAGGCTGATTTTAGCCCTTATTGCAGCTAATTACTGCACCTCCTAATTGCTGACCCCATGCTCCTCTCTGTAATTGCTCCAGCTGGACTTGGAGTCTTTAATGGGATATTTTCTAACCAGCAAGGCTGGTGGGGGTTATTTATTTATTTTTATTCAGAAGAAATCCCCTCCAGCATGAGGAGTTCAGTTGTGTTCTCTGGCTTTTCTCCTGGGTGATTTGGAGGTGATTTTTGTACCTGATATTTTTTTTTTTTAAGGGAAGTTCAGAGCAGGGATGCTCCAGGGATGTTTTTCTGTTCCTCCCAGCACAGCTGTTGTGGGTAGCACCAATCCTTGCCACAACATGAGCTCTTTAGACTCACAGATTCCATGGTTCCATGATCCCCCCCAAAGCCAGGCTGGGCAGCAGATTTATGGCTCTGAACCCCTGTCATTCTTGCAGGAGGGATATCAACATTTCCCTGGGCTTTGTTGGGGTACAAAAGATTTTCCCCAAGGCCCCAGAGGGTGTGAGGAGCACTGAAGTGCCAAAATGAGAGCCTGAGTGGTGAAACCTCCTCCCCAAATTGTCCCCACAGAGCTGAACTCCACCTCTCCCTGCCAAGAAGCTCAGGCTTTAAAAACAATCACTTTTGGGCTTGGCTTTTTGGGGCTTTTTTTTTTTTTTTTTTTTTTTTCTCCCCAAATAAGAGAACGAGGCCAGCAGCAAATTGCACAGGAGAAGGGTTCCCTGCTGTGCTCTGAGCCAGAGGAGAGGGAAGCAGCAGCTGATCAAAAGATGTTGAACTTGCTGGGGATGAGCTGCCTGCTAGGAGGAAACAGCAAGTGCTCCTTGATTCCCAGGCAGGGAAATTTTTCCCTTTTCCCATTATTCTAATGGAAGTGGAGCTCACACCTGCACTGATGATGGAGCTGGGTGGGGAGCTGCTTCTTGAGGAGATAACGTGGTTTTATTGCAAAGGAAAGGGACAAAGCCCCTCCCTGGAGGTGAGGAGGGCACAGGGAAGGGAGCAGGAGGAATTGTGCCAGGCCATGGGGAGGCTGAGCAGGAGGCAGGCACGTCTCACACTGACGTCTGCCACAGCACAGAGCCTACCACCACCTCCTTGCAAGAAAAAGAAACACAGAATTCACTATTCCTTCTTACATTAAAATCACTCCCTCCTACATTCACATCATTGCTGTCAGAAACATCTTGATTTTCCACACCTAAGGGGCTATGGAAAAAAACAAGCATTTCTGCTAAAAATAAGGGGTTTTTTTTTTCCCCCCCACAAGCTGTATTTATGCAGATCTCCTTTCCTCTAAAACGCAGCATTACTTTAATTTTAATTTAATCCCATATCTGCATAATTGCAGCACTGCCAAACAAACAAGTCACAGTCACTGGGAAGCAGGAGCAATGCAAAACGTGGATTTAACCAACTTCATTCCCAAACATTTTCCTGCGAACATTCCCTCACAGAAGAGCCTCCCTCCTCACTGAAATGTCCACGTTTTCATCACAGCAAGCATCTCCCCTTCAAACGAATTTCCCATCAGAAAATTTATATTATAGTCAGATGCAGCACTGAGAGAGCACTTAGGAAATCAAGCCCAGTGGAGCCATCCCTGGTTCTGCTGATTTATTTACTCTGAGTGTCTTTGTGTGCTGTTTGTGGAGAACACGGGGGCTTGGAAGTCACATCCATTTCCCCACGGATGTGCTGGGCAGGAATGATGGAGAGGGGATGCAGGCAGCCCAAAAGACATCCCACGATTTACTGAGCTCGGGGTGATTCCAGCAGGGATCAGGGCTGGAACAAGATCAGCTTTTAAGGGACCTTAAATTTCCCCCCTCTGGTTTTCCATCTTTAACCCAAACCATGCTGGGATTCTCTGGTGGTTTTGAGGAGCAATTGGGTTGAAAATATCCCCGTGGTTCAGGATGTCTGGAGCTGCTGCAGGACAGGGATGTTCAGGGCAAAACTCCAGAATTCCACAGAATTCCCTTCCAAAATCAGCACCTTGCTCACCCAGCCAGCTCGGGGCACCTTCAAAATAAAATTTTTGAGGCATAAAGGTCAACAGCTGGGATGTTTTTGAATGTATCCAAGCTGTTTAGGAGGTTTCTGCCCTGCTGCTGCTGCCATGCCCTGCCAGGAGCTGCCTTGGCTGTGAACTTTGGCAGCTCTTGGGTAAGAACATGAGATAATCAGCAGCAGATTTATCAGCAGGGACAAAAGACTGAAATGGAGTTGAAAAAGGGGGAAGAAAAAAAAAAAAAAAGTGGGGGGATGGAGATCTACGAATAATTTTAGAAATAAGCTGCAAGTTGCACAGTCACAAAGCGGAGGCTGGAATGCACTTTTCCAGAGTTTGTAAAGACTCATTTAATTTCTATAGAAACTGAGCAGCAAACAGGTAATTTTCTCTGCAAATTGCTTCTATCACCTCTGGAATGCTCTGCAAGAGCAATGTATTTCCCTCGTGTTCTTCTTAATCCCCTGTTATTTTCATTATAAATTTAATTAAGCTCTTGTAGAGAACATTCCATGAGATACGAGCTGAGTTTTGTTTTTCTGCTGGAGCAGGGACAGAAAGGAGCTGCTGAATTGTGTGCCAGTTGGATTTCTTTTTTTTCTGGGTAAATATTTCAAATGACACCGAGCAGGGGAGGCATTTGCTGAATCAATACAGCTGAAGCTGAGGCTGAGGGAAGGAGCTGCACAGGAAGGTCTGAGCATCTCAAGAATTCCTTCCAGCAAGGCCTTTCATCCTTGGACAAAATTAGGGAATATCAGGAGCAGGTAAATAGAAAAATGACAATGGTTTGGTTTTTCTTTTTGGTGGTTGCAGTAAAAAAGTCCATTTTTAATACTCCCTGCAACCTAAAATGTCACCAGCACTTCATTTCATAACCTGTCCAGCTCCCCACTTCACCAATGACAAATGTTAAAAATGAATCATTTCATTACAATTTATTTTAAATGAGATCTAAAGGCTTTGCTGCCAAATCATCATGAAAAACTGGGTTTGAATACAATACACATCAATGCTTTAGGTTAATATAAAATGAAAACAAAATTCGTAGAGGTTGGGCTTTCTAACCCCTCTTTTTAACCCGTTTAGTCTCACATTTATCAGGCAACAAGAGCTCCCCTGCAGAGCTGGGGTTGTTTGTTTCTATTTCAGCTTTTTCCCAGCTCTAGGCCATGACAAGTCATCCTCCCACCAGGCAGTTTGGGGACGCTCAGGAGTCACAGCAGGGCTGTCAGAGCTGCACTCCAGCACTGCTCCCTGGCCCAGGGGCATCAAATCCACCACCGAGATGTTTTTCACAGGAGTGATCAAGCTCTGGAACATCTTCCTGAAGGAAACCAGGAGTTATTTCCCCCCAGAGACACGACTCAAAGCTTGACCTGCATGCAGCCAGATCTTGTTTGTGATTATTCTGGATTTTCTGTTCCCTGTGCTGCATCCATTTCAATGCTCTCTACCAGTGATTTTTCCCTTCCTGCCTTGTTTTATTTGATTCTTGTTACAGAAAGGAGATGTCAGGAAATCTGACACATTGCTGTGCCAGCAGCAGGTGAGAATCTCACGATTCAATTCCCACCTGTGCCAGGGCCATTTTACACCAATTTTCTCTGTAGGAAAACATGGAATAAAAGCAATAAAAGCTGTGGAATATGTGTGTGTGCTGTGCACAGCTTCAGCACTGCCTGCATGAACGGGGGGTGCACAAATCCCTGCTCAGGAAGGATTCTGCCTGAAGTATCACCAAGCCAAAACATTTTACAAGCTTGGAAAAGAACTTGTCATCAAATAACTCCATTTTCTTTTACTCTCTCCGTGCTCGTGCTTAAAAACTTCCGTTAAAAAAGGGGAAATATTTTCCCGTAATCAGCAGGTGACAGGACAAGGTGCTTTAAGCCATCACGCCTGATCCGTGGCAAAGCTCGAGCTGCAGATTCCAGAGGTGACAAATTTACAGATCTGTCCTTCCAGGGGTAAGCCTGGCAGTCTTGGCATCGTTCAGGGTCCTGCCCCCGGCTTTGCTCCCCGAGGACTCCTTGCCCTGGAGCAGGGTGATGATGTTGTCCCTCTGGTGCCTCACGGCCAGCTGCAGGGCCGTGCACCCCGTGATGTCCTCCACGTCCAGCAGGGCCCCCGCCTTCAGCAGGGTCTTGATGATGGCCATGTTACCTTTGAGCACCGCCAGGTGCAGCGGCGTCCAGCCCACCTTGTTCCTGGCGTTGACGTCGGCGCGGCTCTCCAGGAGGTTGATGACGCTCAGGAAGGAGCCCCTGAGCACGGCGAAGTGCAGGGGGGCCCAGTGGGACCTCTCGGCCGTGTTGGGGTCGGCCCCGCAGCGCAGCAGCTCGCCGACCACCGGCTCGTCCCCGTAGCGCGTGGCCAGGTGCAGGGGGGTCCAGTCCATGCTGCCCTTGGCGTCCAGCCGGGCGTGGCTGCCCTTCAGCAGCCGGATGATCTCCAGGTGGCCCTTGAAGGAGGCCAGGTGCAGGGGGGTCCAGCCTTTGTCCGTCCTCAGCTCCACGTTGGCGCCGTATTTGATGAGTTTCTCGCAGATCAGGTACTTGCCCCTGACCACGGCCAGGTGCAGGGCGCTGTAGTGGTTCTGGTCCAGGCTGTTGACGGAAATCCCGTTCTTCAGCAGGTACTGCACCACCCTGAACTTGCCCCTCTCCACAGCCACGTGCAGCGGCGTCCTGAGGTTCTTCTGCTTCCTCTCCAGCTCAGCTCCCTGGCTGGCCAGCAGCTTGACCAGGCCCACGTGCCCGAAGCAGGCAGCCACGTGCAGGGCGGTCTTCCCATCCACCTCCTGCATGTTGGAGTCGGCCTGGCGGGACAGCAGCACCCGCGCCACGTTCTCAAAGTTGTTCTGAGCCGCCAGGTGCAGCGGGGTCCATCCGTCGCGCTCCTGCGCGTTCACTCGGGCCTGGTGGTCCAGCAGCAGCCGCACGGTGCGGTCGTCGCCGTGCTGGGCCGCGAAGTGCAGCGGGGTCCAGCCGTCCTCGTCGGCCGCGTTGGCGTGGGCGCCGTGCTCCAGGAGGAGGCCGCAGATGTCGGGGAGCCGCCGCTGCACGGCCAGCAGCAGCGGGGTGCAGCCGCAGCCCCCCGCGCTGTTCACGCCCGCCCGGCGGCCCAGCAGGAAGCGCACCTTGGTTGGGGAAGGGGAGGATGTGAGAGCGAGCTCCCGCAGGTGTGTGTAACCAAAAAAACAACAAAAAAATCTGTGGAGGGAGGGTGGGGAGTGAATTCCCAAACACAGGGTTTTCTTTACAAGGTGTCCACCCAGCTGACTACAGTTGTTGATGTGTGTGTCCACCTGGTTGACCACAATTGTGGATGTTTGAC